TCTTTCTCTCTCTCTTTCTTTCTTTTTTCTTTCATGTATTTGGTACAGGGTCTTGCTATGCAGCTTGAACGTGTAGCGATCCTCTTGTCTCTACCTCCCCAGTGCTGGGATAATAGGCGTGTGCCACCACACTCGGTCTTTGTGGCTGCCTCTGCTTCCCCAGGACAGGGCCAGCATGGCATGTGGTACCCGAGACTGAGCCTTGCCTAGGTGCTTCTCTGCGGCCCCTCTTGTCCCTTTCTGAAGCAGTTCTGGAGTCTTCTTTCATGAGTGTCCATATGAGGTGTGCTAAAAACCATTCTGAACGTCGCTGCCCAGGGCCCTCTGCGGACAGGCCGCTTGGAAGGGCTGCACTGCAGCCTCATGCACTTTATTCACTAGATCTGCTGCAGAAGGTGCCGCAGAGCAGGCGGGGGCCAGGATGCTGGGGTGTGTCTGCGGTGAGGGGGAGATCTGAGGGGCTTGATGCAATGTGTCTTTTATTGCAGTAATTTTTTAAAAGCCCCTTCAATATTCCCATAGTTTTCAGTCACGCCGTGTCAGATTTCAGTTACGGAAGTCATCTGTGGGTGTGGTGGAGGTGCCTGGTGGCGCAGCCACTTCTAGGGCGGGTCCCCAGGAAGCAGGCTCGGGGCTCTCTCCTGGGTAGCTGAGGCAGGCCACTCTTTGAGGCTGTACCAGGGCCTGCTCCCACAGAGCCACATCAGGAAGTGAGCTCGTGTCCCTGCTGCTTCCGCAGCCCCGATTAGACAAGGAGAAGCATCACTCTGGTTCCTGCAGGGGCAACTATGAATGAATAATTACGATTTGCCAAGAGCTGAATAATTTTTCAGAGCATTGCACACAGAAGCATGTAGGGAGGTACATAATAATACTTTATTTTTTACAGAAGAAGCAAAGGCTCCAGGGCCCGCAGGGCCCGCCCAGGACTCAGATCTTGTTTTTATTTATTTATTTATTTGTTTATTTATTTATTTTGTGTTTGTGTGGCCAGTTCAGCCCACCAGGGGGCGGTGCTGGCTGGCATGTGGTGCTGGGGGATTGAACCACTGTCCCTGTGCTTTGCTTAGCTTAGCTTGTCCTAAGTAGGTGCTTTAGACCACTGAGCCATCTCACCAGCCCACGGATCTTGTTTGATCTCAGCCCCAGGTACGAGGTTTTCGGCTGCTGCGGTGGAGCTGATGCATCAGCAGACCTCCCCTGCGTTGTCTCTTCCTGTGTACACCTCCCTCCAGCTGCCCGAATCCCGTCTGCTGTGCCTTCTTTTTCAGTGTCCGGAGGAACTAGTCTGTGTGTGTTTGTGGAGGCGTGACTGATGTTGTTCTACCACAGTATTGTTTGGGCTGGTTATAATTTTTAAAACATTACACAGAAATTAATAAGAAGTAAAATAACAATACAGTTTTAAAAATTTGGCTAATTAGATTAAAGTAAATTACAACCAAAAAGAGATTTGTCATTATTCATCTGTTGCTCAGAATCGGTGCTAAGAGATGGGGAATTCTGGCTCCTGGTGTGACAGGCGAGGTCACGGCCGCTGGAAGGCACCTACAGAGCCCTGTGGCTCCCTCTCCGCAGGGCTTTGATGTCAGGTGTCCCAGCCAGCCAGGTGTGGAGGGTGAGAGACTGCCAGAGGCGTCTCTCTGTCTGACTTCGGCCTCCTGACCTTGCAGCTCTGACTGTGAAGTTGCCCGGGTCTGAATTCCTCCCTTGATACCTCCAGCCGCAGCTTTTGCTACCCTGACACCTGTGGGCAGAGATACCCTGAGGCCAGGCCAGCTGCAGCTTCCACTCCACACCTTATCAGATTCAGAGAAATGCAGATTCAGAGAAATGCTTTGAAAGAGGGACCAGCTCGGCTTTGAGGTTGGAAGGGGTGGTTTTATTTTCTTTCCAGTAGGAAGCTATCTCCTTTAGGTTCCAGAAGAACCACAGAATTTTTGGTTTGAGTCTGAGATCAGAAGTGCAGATATTTGGAAAACGCTTTTAAGCAACTCTGGTTACTGCTGGGATGTGAACTACACAAGAGTACTCCACACCACAACATATCTTTTCCATACTAGGTCTGTGGCATGAGAGCCCAAACTTCAAAAAACCCAAGTACTGTTTGCAGGAAAGAGTAAAATCTTAATTCTTTTAATTCTGTTCAAACTGTCATTGCTGGTAAGGCCACCAGCAGCTGACAGTCAGACACTGGCCAGCCTTAGTTGTCCTCATGTTACTCTACCTTAATAAAAATATGCCATGTGAGCCGCTGTACAAGGAGTCAGGTGTGGTGTTGTGTGCTTACAGTCCTAGCTACTAGGGAAGCTGAGGCAGGAGGATCACTTGAGTTTAGGAGCCTGAGACCAACCTGTGCAACACAGGCCAACCTCGTTTCAAAAAAAATGAGAGCGAACAGAACCCCAAGATATATCAAAACTGGTGACTTTAAAACATTTCTCTAAAAGGCATACAAGGGATGTGTGCTGACTCAGTGACTAAGCTGTTCTGTTGCTACTGTGTATACACAATTAGTTGTTATGAAATTATGTTCGCACCTAGCTCTACTGTGCTGGAAAAGAGCTGCACGTATACTGAAATACCCTAAAGAACACCAGCATTCACTAGACACATGGGTCAGACTGGAGACTTTGCTTCATGAATCTGAAAAGAGTATTTTTTAAACAGCTGCTGACCCGCCTTGCCACAGGGCGACCCCAGCCCCTTCCTGGCTGTGGGCCCAAGGTCAACGTCCTGCTCTTTCCCTCTTCTGCCTGGAGCTCTGGGCCAGGCTGCAGGATGAATGGAGAACTGAGCAGGCAGGAAGCACACAGCTGAAGGGCGTGGGAGCCGGAGCAGGGTGCACTGCATCCTGTCCAAGGCATCGGTGCATCGTGCCGTGCTCCGCCTCGCCTTCCAGCAGTACACTAAGGCTGTGGAGAGGCCACCGAGAATCAGGCTCACCCTGTCCTGTAGAGCAGTGTCCTGTGGGCTCTGTGGCCACCACTCACCTCTGCCACTGTTTGTGGGTTGGAAGTAGGCAGGTACTGTGACCCACACACCAGCCAGTGCGACTGTGTTCTAATAAAACTTTATTCTCAGCAACAGCAATGGGCTGGCTTTGGCCCTGGGGCCGGGTGGCTTGGCCTTGTTGCAGACACTGAGCACAATGGCACTGATGCCCAGCCACATCGATGCACTCACTCCAAGTTTAGTGCCCTGACAGTGGACCCATCACTGCAGAACGACCCAAAAACTCGGTATTTCTGACCCACAGGGCAGAGAAAGGCCCCCAGCAGCCGACAGGAGCCTGCCAGTCTCGATTGCATCACTGAGAAGCCTGAGCACACAGCCTTCTGCCTTGCGCTGATCTCAGTGCTGCCTCAGGAGCCAAGGACGCTGTGCTGGCAGGCGCGCGAGTGGAGAAGAGCGCTCAGTGCTGGGCACCAGGAGCCTGGAAGCCGTCCATGGCCACGCACCTTCCCCGGACACTGGTGCAGAATTTGTTGGTCAGGCAACGGGGACCATCGCCTCGAAGGCAAACTTGCTCTCTGCGGCTAAAGAAACAGAATGAACAGAGAAGTGCAAGCCATGAGAAATAGGAACAGCCCAGAACCAGAATTTCCTGCAGGTAGAGGGAATCAGACAGTTTCTTAGCTGGCTGCTTCTGTTTTCAGTGGGAAACCAAAGCCCAGGGAAGGAGTCACACGTGATGGACACCAAGTCGCGGCCACTCCGGCTTAGTCTACACCGGCTCACCACGCACTCCGCTCTGAAGGAGGCTCACTAGCCGCACAGACGCTCGCTTTAGTATCAGCTACCCCGAAAGACTAATCTGTGGAGCTAGGGCTGGCGCCACAGCACATCTGCCAGGCGCCGAGGGAGGGCGCCGCTTGTCACTGGTGTAATGTGGCAGACGAGAACTGCACAGGGTACAGCATCAGGTGGCCATCTTCCCAAGAGTACAGGTGCTGGTCTCGCATGTTGTACGCCAGCATGGCAAGGACAGCCTGGGAAGTTCTTAAATTAAAGTTTGCATTGATCTGTTTCTCTCCTAAGAGATCAAAGGCAAATGTTATCCGCATATCCTTGGTGTCAGTGACGTAGAGGATCCCCTGGGCTATGAAGGCATTGCCGGCCTTGGACTTGGGGTACGTGGTGTTGATGACCCTTGCCACGGAGAGCGTCCTCTCGTCCAGCTGGGCGACCACCACACTCGAGCCGTCCACGCTGGACGCGTAGATGATCCAAAGGCCCTTCTCGTCGGCAGCGAGGTTGAAGTAAGTCTTGGAGTTTGCGAAAAGATATTTCCGATCAAAATACAAGGCATTCTCAAGCTTCAGAGTTTGGACGGTTTCTTTGCCAAATTCAAATCTGAAATATGTTTGAAGAGAAACAGAAGTGAGTCGCATGCTGCTGGGCTGGTAGGCGCCCCGCTGCCCTGGGCCTGAGGGTCTGGGCGGGGTGTGCGCTGCTAGCTGGCTCCAGGGAAACCTGCGGTGCTGCAGCCTTGGCTTGGGACCAGTCGCGCATATGGGGGACAGTGAGCAGCCCGAGCTGCAGGAGCACAGGGGCAGCAGTGGGCAGCAGTGGGCAGCGGTCCTCCCGCAGCTTGAAGCTGGCAGGCCTGAGCGGCAGTGTCCTGCCTTGTGAGCGCCCCAGGCCCAACCTCCCCCAGCACCTGCCATAATAAGCTGACTCTTTACGTTTTAAAAGATTTTAAAATGTAAAATCCTTTCTGTTTGCAAAGGACAGAGAAGTGGCCAGGCCCTGAGTACAAGCAGCAGGGATGAACTCAAATTTTCTAACTCCAGCTTGTGAGTATTCTTTAATTTATGCTGAAAAATTAGGAAAAAATTTTCTACAAAAATTTCAATTAAGAAAAATGTCCCCAGTGGAGAAGAGCTGCAACCGTCAGGGCTGTGTGGACGGTTTTGGCAGGTGAGAGGCTGACCAGTTAGACCATGGCACCAGCGCTCTCAGCCGGCTCCTGGGCCGTCTGACATGCCGGCCTGGATAGCGAGGGGTGCAAAGAAACATTAAAAGTGCAGGGCTCAGCGCAGGGGCCTGAGGACAGAAGGAAACACCAGAGGGCGCCACCGAGCCGCCGGGAAGCGGGCCAGACCGCGGACCGCCCGCGACGCCCGGAAGGACAGGCGGGCTCTCCGAGCCTGCGGCACCCGCCCGAGCATCCCGTCGGGCTCCGGCTCCCACCTGCTGCCTGGCCTGGGGCGGCCCGGGGCGGGCCGCGGGCGTCGTGGGGTGCTCTCAGCAGGTCGCAGACCTGGATCTGCTGTCCTTGTCCCCAGGCACCACCGAGCCTGCCCGGCCCGGAAGGGGCGCTCACTGGGCTCAGCTCCCGGACACCCTCACCTGGGCACTCCAAGGCCACAAGGTGGGAGGAGGGCCGGGAGAGGGCCCAAGCCCCACAGGGGCGTTGTCTGGTGTCCTCGAGGACTGGACCAGGATGTTTAGGATGCTGGGCTCCTGTTTCACAGGTGAGGCCGGGAGGACCCGGGGTTCTTGCTTTACAGAGACCACAGGGGGTGAGGTGGCATCTTTCTTGTCCAAGGGCACAGAGAAAGCGGGAGAGTAGGCCCAATACAGAGACTGCGCCCAGGGCCGCTGCACTGATCTACATCCCTGGGCTTTTTAAATTTTGAGACAGGGTCTTGCTGAGTCACTGAGTTGTCCAGGCGGGACTCACAGCTGAGATCCTCCTGCCTCAGCCTCCCAAGGTGCTGGGATCCCAGAAGTGTGCCGTCACACCGGCTTTGTAGCATCTCTGTCTTGATTTGCCCCAAATGACAGCCTTTGGCTTTTAAAGCCCAGAGATTATTTCTCCTTCAAGTATACCGGCCAGGCTTCAACAGTGTCAGGAGTGGCAGGAAGGTGAGCCGCCCCCTGGACGTGGGAGGTAGTGGCCCTGCACACACCCCAGTGATACAGAGAAGGGGTGGGATGGCCTCGTAGGCCCCATCAGGATGACAGATGGGGCCAGCCGCTCCCCCTTCCAGACCAGGCCAGCTGGGCTCCAGCCACTCTGGTCCCCTGTCCTGTCCCTGATGCTCTGGTGTCTACTCTTGTGACTGACACTGTGGGACTCATGAAACAACAAAGCTTGACCAACCACGGTGAGTACCGGCCCTGAGACAAAGGTGGTGGGGTGTCTGCCAGGACTCACCTGACGATGGTGTTGGAACCGCCCTTGTGGTAGTAAAGGGCACCCTTGTGGACCGCGTGCCCGCAGCCGTGGAAGTAGTGCGGCAGCAGGATGGCAGAGTAGCTGCCGTTCAGGAGTGAGGCCTGGTCCTGGAACTCCTTCACCAGGATGCCTGAGGGAGGAGGCGCAGGCTGGCATGAGCCCCAAGCTTGCAGGGCAGGCTTGTGGAGCCCTGAAAGTCTCCCAGATAGAGTTGTCCTGGAACCACACTGAGCAGGGGCAGCAACCTGTGGGGCTCCCGCAGCCAGCGGGCTAGCGCAGCCGCTGCCAACGCACCCTGTCAGCACCAGTTCCTTCTGGGCCCTGAAGCCTTCTCAGCCAGTGCCGCCACACTGTGAACCTTGGTTACATAAAGAAGCTGTCTCTGGGCAGCTCTCTCTCCAGCCAGCCCATCTCCTACAGAAGGAGCCTACTATGTATGACCACTGGGGCAGTCCCTGCCACTCCCCAAGACAGTGTGGATGGGGCCAAGCTACATGACCACGTGGTGGCCCTTCACCTCTCCCCTGGGCTGTCCCTCCAATAGATATGCTAGAAAGATGGCCAGAATACACTGCCAGGATGGCAGCAGCCCTGGGGAGAGACTGACAGAGCATGTGGAGCCCGACATTCCTTCCACGCCGTGGCTCAGGATAGGAAGGCCTGCGGTGGCCGGGCCCTCTGCTCCTCCTGGACATCTGCTGAAGGTGGACGGCTGCCCTGGCTGTCTCAGGGACCTGAAGCGCGAGGCTGCCCCAGCCTGTCAGGAGGGGGAGAGTGCTTCGCCTACTTTCTAAAATAGGGAGCTGTTTATCAGACTGACGTTAGCAGGGGCTTCTGCTTATACACAAGTAGGGACGGGGAGGACAATGCCCGCGAGATCAGACCACCTGCTGAGGAGAGGCACCTGAAAAATGCTCAGTCACCCAAATCCGATCATCGCTCCTGCCAGCAGACTCTCTTATCCACGTCCCAAACGTCTCTGTCACTTTCAGTACTTGTATTGGGTTTCCAATGGAAGCAATCATGGATTCTGCCAAAACCAAATCAAATCACATCAAATCAAATCACCTGCCAGTTAGGACTTCAAGACATCTACTTTTTGAACTCCAAAACAAGATACTTTTTTTGTTTCTCAGTGCTGAGATCCAGCCCAAGGCCTGCCCATGGTGGCAAGCACCCTACCTGAGCCATACCTGGTCCCAGGATTCTTTGCTCCATACCTGCTTGTGGGGCATGCCGTTCACTGCCTTTCCCATCCACTTTTCCCACCAAGGTGTCGTCATTTGGCACGGCACATGTCTCACCTGCAACAGCGACGGCAAAGCAGAAGGCTGGCACAGTGGGATGGCCTAGCCGTACAGCTCTGCGACCCGGCTCACTTTGGCCCCCAGCTCCACTGCACCCCTGTGACACAGGTCCACTGAGTGTCTTGCACCCCAGGCCAGCGTTTCCACTCTCCCCACTTGGTGAGCTTCTGACAAGCTTTGCACAACCACAGTTGCTAGGACTGCACAATCCTGAGAGGACACTGGTATCCCCGTTGATTTTGGGCTGCTCCTGAGGAGCACCAGAGCCGGGGAAGCTTATGGCAATGGAGTTTGGGGGACCGGAAGTCTGAGGCAGAAGGCAGGACCTGGTGAGGGCCCCTGGCGGTGTCATAAGATGGCAGTACATTCCATAATGGCCTAGCCTTTGGGAGGAGCCGGCTCGCGTGAGGACGGGTGAAGGCCTCACGCCTGGCTCACCTCTCGGGGGCCCCACCTACCATCATAGCTACAATGTGTGCTTGGGGCACACTTGAGTCACTGTGGCCAGTGAAGGGGACACAGTGGCCAGAGTCAGCCTGTCAGAGCCCTCAGCCATCAGGAGAGAGGCTTGGTAACACCTTCCTGGTCTCCCTGGGAGGCAGGGTCTCTCACACAGATTTTTCTGGAAGGATTTTCACTCTTAGGGGAGCAAGTAAGAGCTGGGAATGTGCAGCCTCAGGATAGGGTGGCCTGCTTTCCTGTGTCATCCCAGGCCAGGTGTCAGGGGTGTAGCCACAGAGCTTCTACGGAGGAAGGAACTAAGGAGCTTCCCTGCCTGGGCCCCAATTCATGGCCTGCTGACCCTCTGCATGAAGACGTATGTGTGGGGACCGCCTGGCTTATGGGGGCTGAAGGCCACCTGCCCTGTCAGCAGCCCTCTTAGTGACAAGAAATGAAGCTGGTGTGGGCAGAGAGTGGTGGCTGGTAGGCAGATGACAGGGTTGAGCTGGGGCCGTGGACTGGGTGGGATGGGCACTTTGGGAGGTTCCAGGCCCACTCTCCTGGGAAGACCCTGAGGCAGAAAGGACAGCCCCTCCACTGCCCCAGGGAGGCCCTCAGGAGAGCCAGAAGGAGCCGCCCTCCAAGGTCTCGTCTGGGCCCACAGATGTCAGGGCCCCCCTGCCCTCGCGAGGCTGGGCCAGGTCCCTGGTTGTGACCTCTCTCTCCTGAAGATGCTCCCAGAGCTGAGACTGCACAGCCAGGTGGCTTGGGTTTGAGTCTCTAATACAGTGACCTTGGACAGGGGATTTGGCTCCTCAGGTGTCACTTTTGAGTCGTGATATGGAGACGATGCAGTGGCCAGCGTGGGAGGATGGCAGTGCGGGCTGAAAGAACCAAGCACTTGGCACCACTCCCGATGCTTCCTCAGCAGCTAGCCGTGGGTGGTGCAGGTCGGTGCGGCTCTGTGGAGGAGGCCGCTGCAGTGACACCCGTGGGAGGATACCCCCCAGCTGTCCTGTCACCCCAGCCTCCATGGAGCCCTCACTCTGCCTGGTGGTCCTGTCTGCAGAAGATCAGCAGCTCAGCCTTTGGGGGCGACCTTGGGAGGAGGAGCAGGCAGCAGAGGGGCGGGAGACCAGCGGGAGGGGCAGGAGGCAGGCGTGGGCTCCGCTCTGTACCTTTCCCCTTTCCCAGGACAGGCCGCAGAGTTCCCGTGGGCAGCTGCCCTGGAGAACTCCTGCCTGGGGCAAGATCTTCCTCAGTTTTAGAAAATCTGGCCATACAGTCTGGGGTGCAGACCAGAGTTTGGGGATACCTGTGGAATGGGGGGTAACCTGGGGCAGGGGCTGGTGACCTGAGCACTGGCCGTTGAGCGTGTTTGGTTGCCGAGGGCCCTTGGCTCTTCTGCTTCCGGGGGCCCCGGGAGGGCCGGGGGGCCCCGGGGGCCCAGGTGGGCCAGGCGGGCCTTGGTCACCTTTGGCACCTGGAGAGAGGGAGAGAGAAATTAGGCAGGGTTGCCCACAGGAGCAGGGCTTCATGTGAGGGAAAGGGTCACGGGCCTGTCAGGCCCCCTGAGCCCTGCCCTTCTTTGAGGTGACTTTCTTGGCACCCCAAAGGGGTGGAGGACCTGCCTCCCCCTCCAGATCCTCCCATTCCCAGCCAAGGAAACCACGGAGGCCATTGCTGAGTGGCTGTCTGCCCTAACCCTATACCTGGAGGCAGCTCCGCCTCTGATTTCTGGTGCCCCAAGTGGGCAAAGCCCTCTCAGGAGCCAAACTGGTTGTGGACTAGACACGAAGACACCCCTTGGGGCTGTGGATCCCAAGTCTCCCCTTCAGGAGGGAACTGGACAGCCTGGTCTTTTCCACTGCGCTTTTCCAGCCAGACCAGACGGCCCCCTTCACTCGCTCTGGAGCGGGCAGGTGGGGGGCCACGGCCGGAGCTGGGGCTGGGTCCCTGTCCCCTCTGGAAGGGTGGGGGTCTGCAGGCAGCGCAGCCGCCGTCCACGTGCTCCGTGCCCGTAGAGGGCCGCCCGGTTGCAGCGCCCTCAAGGCTGCAGGCCGGCGCTGTCCAGAAGGGCTTTGCATCACCCCTCACTCCTTCAGCCGCGGGGGAATGTGACCCGGACGTGGGCCCTGGAGACCCGAGGATAGGTGCATGTTTCGATTTATAAACCTTTAATACTGTGACAGACACATTGCCACGAGTGCCCTCTGGTTCCCCCTGGTTTCAACACACTTAGCCCACTGTTCTGGCTCTTTCAGAGGCAGCTCTGCGAGTCCTCCTTTGTGAGTGTCTTTATGAGCAATGACACAAAACATGGTGGATGCTGCCGCTGCGGGCCACTCAGTGAGAGGACGCTCCAGCCGCCTGGCCTCCCTGCCTCAGTCACCAGCCCTGGCACCGCGCCTCCTGGGCCTTTCCCAAAGCCAGTGTTTTGAGTCAACTCAGGACACTGAGGCAGCTCCCCTGCACAACTAGAGACGCTTGTGAAGAGGACCTCAGAACTGCTTCCGAAAGTGCAAGAAGCACAGGATGAGTGTGCCTGGGGCGAAGGGAGGTGGCGTGTTCAGGGCGTTGGTGGCACTGTGTCTTTTACTGTAATAAGCTTTTACAAATTTAAGCATCCACTGTGTTTTTCCAGCACACCTTGGAGTGGCTCCTTGGTTCACAAACTTGATTCTGCCCATGATCCTGGTCGCAATCCGAGCTGGATAAGAATCGAATCAAACTCAGTGATTCAGTGATGCCGTGATCAGGTTCAGTGTTGGCCTCATGGGGGAGTTTGATTCGATGCTGAACCAGTTTGGTTTTCAACCAGAATGGTGGAAAGAATTGAGCTCATGAACTGAGATACCACTGTGTTAGCAGAGTAGTTACGCTTTTCTTTCTTTCTTTCTTTCTTTCTTTCTTTCTTTCTTTCTTTCTTTCTTTCTTTCTCTTCTTGAGACAGGGTCTCACTATGCAATTCAGGCTGGCCCTTAGCTCATTTTATGGCCCAGGCTGGTCTTGAACTCAAAACGATCCTCTTGCCTCAGCCTCCTGAGTGCTGGGATCACAGGCGTGTGCCACCATGCCCAGCCCAGATCAGTTATGTTTTTATGACAGAGGTAGTCTCCCAAGTATTGTGATTTAAAAATTCTTTTGTGTCCTCCTTCCCCATGACAATTAGCTGTCATCAACTCTTTGTGCCTCAGCCTCTAAGCAAACACCAGTTGACTACTTTTACTGTGGACCAGAAAACCAGCCAACAAATGTTCCCCCAACTCTGTGGCAAACAGCATACAGCCAGGGACTGCACATGGCTCAACCTTGACTGTAAAGAAATGCTTGTGCCATTGTCCTCTGAGCAATCTCTGGTGGCCTGGTTACCTTCTTATTTCAGCGGACATCTGAAAAAAGGAATCTTTCTTCATTCCACTGAACCCAACCTTGGCTTTTAGCTTTGGTTATTAAATGACTCACACAGGCCAGGAGTGGTGCTGCATGCCTGTAATCCCAGCACTCTGGGAGGCTGAGGTAGGAGGATCCCAAGTCTGAGACCAGCCTGGACAATTCAGTGACTTGGGGATGTAGCTCAGTGCAAAGGTCCTGGGTTCAATCCCCAGTGCTAAGGAAAAAAAAAAAAGGCTCATGCTTACATGCAGATCTGGTCTTGCCCACATGGAGTACACACCCTTCTCCTCCTCAAAGGTACAGAATCCCACAAGTTGCTCAGAACAGGCAAGGGCCATGGAGGCAGCCCTGGGGGTGGAGCGGCAGGCCCCTACCTGTGGGCAGCACGTCGTTGGACACATCGCCTTTGTCTCCCTTCTCGCCCTTTGGCCCTGGTGGGCCCTCGTTTCCAGGCAAGCCCAGTTCCCCAGGATCTCCCTTCTCGCCCTTTTCCCCTGGATTTCCTGGGGCTCCAGGTGGCCCTGAAAGAGGAAAAACATCCATTAGGCTACAGTGCAAGATGCATGCCAAGAGGCACGTTTCCCGGACGTTTCCATTCTGTTTATCTGGACATTTCCATTCTGTTTATCTGACACTTTCTTTCTCACTTTTTCAAGTAGGGTCTCACTGTGCAGTGCAGGCTGGCCTCTCACTTGTGATCCTCCTGCCTCAGCCTCCTGATTACAGGTCTGCATCCCCACACAAGCTCACAGCGAGGAAGTTCAGCTCTGTTACTCACTAGAGGGTGAAAGGTATGCAATTTATGGGTGAAGAGGACACTGCAGAGCCCAAGTTCCTGGCTCACAGTGTTTTAGGGAGTATTTTTTTTTAAGGAGTATTTTTGAATTTTGTGAAGTTGTGCTTTTTCTTAAAAGCATGATTTTAAATCCCAGCATCCCTGTCACCTTTTGGCCTATTTCTAAAGCTTCTTCTATTGTACTTCACCAGGACCTGCTGCACCTGTGTTAAAGGTCCTGCAGACAGACCATGGCTGCGTGGAACATGGTGACCATTGCAGACTTGGTACCTTAGTGTCCTAAGCCTTCGTCTCAGGCTCCTTTAGAAGAACAGCAGCTGGCTGCGAGTGCTTGCAGCTGACCTAATGTTCTTGTAGCTCGGAAGGTGTTAGGGTTATCGGACCTCCGCTTCCAGAGTCTAAGAACGCTACAACATCTGAGTGAACAGCAAAGATCCACCCACCGTGCTGTGGCCCATGACCTAAGGCTCCTGCTAACAAATCTGATGAATGTATTGACTTGTGATTTTCTTTGTTCTTTGGCTAGAAAATTCATTTAACCTCATCACTCAGTGAAGCTTGAGTCATATTGGTAGCCATGGTCACTTGGATCTGGCTCAGAATAAGCCATTCTCTCGATCCTGTTAAGGCAAAGCTATTACTCTATGGATGGGACACAGGTGACGTTCCTCAACATGATGGGACATAGGTGGCGCGCCTGAACAGGATGGGACACAGGTGGCGCGCCTGAACAGGATGGGACACAGGTGGCGCGCCTGAACAGGATGGGACACAGGTGGCGCGCCTGAACAGGATGGGACACAGGTGGCACGCCTGAACAGGATGGGACACAGGTGGCGCTCCTGAACAGCATGGGACACAGGTGGCGCTCCTGAGCAGGATGGGACACAGCTGGCATTCCTGAGCAGCATGGGACACAGGTGGCGCTCCTGAGCAGGATGGGACACAGCTGGCGTTCCTGAGCAGCATGGGACACAGGTGGCACTTCTGACCAGCATGGGACACAGGTGGCGCTCCTGAATAGCGTTGGGAGTGGCGCTGAGTGAGCCCTGGGTTCGGGCGGCTGGGAATCCATCCTTCCAGAGCTTCAGATGTGGGGGGCCTCATCTGGCCAGCAGAACAGACTCTAACATTTAAATCATTCAGTCCATGCAAGTCAGCATTCAGCAATTCAGCAATTTAAGCAAGAAAAAATTATAAGATCATCGCAGTAAGTGCAGAAAAGACAGCAGATAAAATTCATCATCCATTCTTATTAAAAATTCCCATCAAACCAAGAATAGAAGGGAACTTCTTTAGTCAGAAAAAGGGCACCTCAGTAGGTCAACCTCTAACAGCACACTTAGCACAGAAAGGCCAAGCGCCTTCCCCTAACGTTGCGAAGGAGACCAGGGCTCCTCTCTCCTGAAGTTTTTTATGTACAGAAGTTCCCCGAAGCCTGGCAACGCTGGATGAGTGCTCTCCTAGGGAGCAACATCTCCAGCTCTTTTAAGCTAGGCTGACCTTGTATTTGGGATCCTCCTGCCTCAACCTCCTGAGTGCTGGGATTACAGGCATGCACCACCACATTTGGCCTTTAGACTATTAAAGACACAGTAAGTCCCTAGATTCAGCCTGTATTTTTCTTCAAATGCTCTAAATCCACAAATTCCAAGGACTTACACACTGACACCGTTGTGTTAATCGTTAATCTGGTGCCACGTCACTGAACTTCAAACACACTTAAGCTGCATTCGAACCCCATTGATGAAGTCAGATTTCACTTTAGCCTGCTGACAGGCAGCCTGAAGGACATTAGGTGAAAGATAACTCAAGGAAGAGACATCCCAGCTCATCCATCTGTGCCTCTCACACACTCCCTAAAGTGCCTTCTGTGATGATGGAGGACCAGGCAGGCGAGGTGAAGCCCACACCTTCTCTCTAGGGGCACCTCCGCGGACCCCATCCAACGACACAAGGACACAGCACACAGCACCCACAGGGCCCAGAGAGGGAAAGGAGTTGCCTGATATTACAAAGACATTGCTAGATACGGATCAAGTAACAAGGCGCTCCATCTCCAGATTTTCGCCCTTTTGATACAAGGCCTTGGAAGATGCCGCTCCTCCAGCATCCTGCCCAGAGCAGCGGATTTCAGGAACAAGGAGAGCCAGAGGCCTGTGGCAGCGCAAACAAACCTTTCATTCTCTCACCCCCGTAACCCAGAGTGAGGGTCCTTCACTTCTCTAATTGCCCTGCCAATTCCCATGTTCTTTTTGTCGGTCCCAGCTAAGTGACTGTGCCTTAGCCTGTCTTACACCCCACAGAGCTGACCAGAACTGTTCTCTGGCATTGCAAAGGCCCTGCTGCCCCACGCCAGCTCTGCCAGAGTGCAGTGCTACGGCCTCAGGAGAACCAGCGCTCCACACTGGGAGGCCCCCAGTAGGTTGCCCTGCTTCCACCCTGTAGGCCTCCGTGTGCCCTGTGCCTGGCTCTGCCCAAGCACTTTCAGTGACGGGCCTTTCCCGTCCCAGTACCGCTGCCCTGCAGTAGAACCAGTCATCCCCAGCACGTCAGCCAGAGCTCTTTGTGCCTGCGAGTGGTCCACAGGAGAAGCATTCCAGTGGCTTCTGTCTTGCCCAAGCAGGGGCTGCCCACAGACCCACCCAGGTAAGACAGCAGTGTGCAGAAGAGCCTCACGGGTTTAGCCCCGCTAGAAAGTACAGAGAACAAAGAAATGTTTGCTCAAGTACAGCCAAACACTAAAATAAAATAAAATAAAATAAAATAAAATTCTGTGCAAGTGATAGCTAGAGCAGAGAACCAGAAGGCCTGGAGTCCCTCCTGGAGCGACACACACCCCAGGGAGGTGTGCAGGAGGGACACAGACCCCCCAGTCAGCACTTGCGCCACGCAGACCGAGGGCCGGGAGCCGCAGCTCAGAACGAGTCTTGCCAAGGGCGGGAGACCCAGGCTGTGGTCCCAGCACTGTCACCAGCACACCTGGCTGGAAAGTGGCTCCCACTCTGGAGGAGAGCCTTGTGCAGGTCCCTGTGTGCAAGGAGATGCTCCTTTGTGAGGATTTAAATAGGAAATCTGGCATGGGTCTGTGAAGGGACGAGCCCAGGCGCTGTTGCCATAGAGTCCGGAAACTCCAGCGCCAGTTGAGCAAGTCGCCCCTTCGGCTCTCACAGAGCTGGTTTCGCTGTGCTGCGCGGTCTCTGCCCGGGGCTCCTGGGTTTTTTCAGGCACTTAATTTATTCCAGCACAAAGAGCCTCTGGGCGTCATCGTCCAATTCCCCTTCCTTCCTTTCATGCCTACCTCTTGGGCCTTCTATTTCTTTTGTCAAAGCAGCCACGTGTGAAGTAGGACAGCGTGCTCACCACAAAGCAGTCCTGTGACAGCAGCGAGGCCGGCCTCAGGCTCACCTCTTAGCTGGGCTGGCGGCGAGCTGTCATTTTCAAGCCTTTGCTGAGGAAGGGCAGTGGGTTGGACAGTCTGCTGTCACCCTCTTGTTTTTCATAACTTTAGTTTTTAATTAGTGCACATTTGTCATACATATTGACTACGTTCAGCATGGGGACTTGGGCCTGTATGTAATAGCTCTTCACTCTTTCCCCAGCCCTCTCCTCCCTTCAGCTCTCCTCCTCCTGCTCCTCCCCATCTACACACGATTGCTCTCCACGCTTTTCCTTTGTCCTCTCCTCCCCTGGCTCAGTGCCCTCCCCGTTGGGACCTGTTCTTTCTTATTCCCAGGAGCTTTCCTCCACCAGGCTCCTTATCTACTCTGCAGGTCTCTCACATACGAAGAGTAATCTTTGCCCTCCTGTTGATGGTCACATGTGACCAAATATCCCTTCATCTTTGTGGTGGCTGCCACCTAACTGCCATTCTCCCCAGCAGACCTGTGTGGCAGTTTTACCCAGACTCAGGGGAGGTGCGGTGGGGGTCACGGTGCCAGGTGACGCCGGGAAGCATCGTGCCTCACTCCTGGCCAGCTCCAGTAGGCGCATGCGGCCAGCACAGGCCCCGCCTGCCTACCTCGTGCGCTAGAAGCACTCCCTGTTACTGTTCTGCTGCTGCCCACTCAAAACAAATGATTGCACCAGCATCAGAGCTGGGGTCAGCTGCATCCTCCTCTCCACAGGGCTGAGGGAACACAGCTTATTTTTGGCAGTGCCAACTGTCGCTGACTAAGGCAGGGGGAAAGGGGCCAGGGGATGTCACACAAACCCAGTCAGTCCCAAGATGGCAAGAAAGAGGGGGTGTCTACTTCTATTTTTTCTAGAACAACGATTTGATTTTTAGAAATGACACGACATTAACTCTTAAGCGGGAAAAATGAAAGACAGCTAGAAAATGCTTGGTTTTGAGGCACTCAGCTGTCAAACTTCACAGACAAGGCTGCCGGCACAGCGGACCACAGCGCAGCCCCTTTCAGTTCCGATTCTCCCTCACAGAGTCTGCATTCCCAAATGTGCTCAGACTTTAGCAGCTCGCTTCCTTCTGGCTGGGACATCTTGTTAAGTGGAGCCACGTAGACACAGAAAGCAAATGCCACGTGTTCTCCTTTAGGTGTGGCAGGTCTGGTTGATGTGAAAGAAGCAGGGAGCAGACAAGTGGCCACCAGGGCCAGGGCTGGGGGTGGCGGGTCGGGGCATAGCCAGGCAGGGGCAGTTTCTACAGTTCTGTGTGACACAGGATAACTGTGGCTCACATGGCCAGCTGAATACAATGTAGCCAGCAGAATTTGTCTGGATGTTCCTAGCTCAAAGGAACAGCAGATGTCTGCGTCTCTAGATGTGGGGACGACCCTGATCTGATTGCTGCATTTGTGTACACGTCCTGCAATGCCCCACAGGGCCCTCAAGCAGGTATGATTTTATTGTGTCAATTTTAAAATAACATATTTGTTTTTACAGCCCCGGGATGGAGCCCAGCGCCTTGTGCATGCTAGGCAAGTGCTCTGCCAGTGACCTAGTCCTGGCTCATTTAAAAATTTTATTTGGAGTCAAGATCTACTTAAATTGCCCAAATTGACCTCAAACTTGTAACCTCAGCCTCTGGAGTAGCTGGGACTATGGGTGCGCAGCACCATATCCAGCTCCAGTTGTATTACTACAAATGTTTAAAAGTTGAACAAGCAAGGGCTGGCCTGATCGCTCAGTGGACACCATGAGCCTGCTTAGGCAGAGTGCCTGCTTAGCAGAGCACAGCAGCCAGGTTCACTTCCCGGGCTAGCCACACGGGCTCTGCCCCCAAGGCATGCTGAGCTGGTGATTGAGACTGGGCGTGGTGGCGTGTGCATGTAATCCCAGCGCTTGGGAGGCTGAAAACAGGAGAATCACTATGAGTCTGAGCTACGTAGTAAGACCCTGTACTAAAAAAAGAAAAAGAAAAGAAAAAACCCAAAACAAAACAACAAAAACAATGAAAGAAAAGATTCTCTTCTGGTCTGACCCAGGCTCCTCCCTCCCCTTTATATAACCAGTGGTGCAGCTTGCGCTAGCATAGACCTCATCACTGCGGGCCCTATTTTAAGTGATTCCTGACAGTGGCAGGGGCTGACACCGCTGTGTCTCCATCTTGCACGTCAGGGACCTGTGGCACAAAGTGATTGTCTCTGTCACTTGCTTAGCTGGGACCAGAGCCCTGGGCACTGTCTGGCGCTGTGCTACTCCACCATTGCTTTTAGGATTTCTCAGGGCAGAAACTGGGTTCTCTGTGGCCTCCACTCCCCAGTTCCATCATGTTAGTCTCTCAGGGGTCCCAGCACTCCTGGCGGCTCCTGCATGCACGCAGCTGAAGTCTTGGGCTGCTCTGGTCCCTCCCCACCTGGCCTTGCTTCCCAGGTGCCATCCTGTCTTCCTGCTCTCTGTCCCCTGTTGCATGACCCTCCCGACCTGGCTCCCGCGTGTCCCTCTGCACACATTGTGGCCCAGCTCCATCTCGGGCAGCATCACCCGCCTGCCAGCCATGGCTGATGGGCCGGCCTTCACTCACGTGTGCTGTGCCTGCGCTTCACTCACTGACTGTTCATCTATGTATTGCCATGGAATATTCAGCAGGGAAGCTGCGTTAGAGCTGTGACCCGCTGAGGCAGTCTGGCGATGGTAGAGCGACCTCCAAGGCCTTGGGAGAGTAGGGGGTGCAGCAGTGCCCTAGCACTCCTGCCGCTGTCCTGTCTGCCAGGTAGGCTGGTGCTGATGGGACTGTCGCCCTGCTTCGGTCTGTTGCTCCTCTGTGGCCTCTCACTCACACCCAGGCCTCAGGCCCTTGTGGTTGACAGCAGGGGCACCTGTAATTGATCCACGCCTGTGGTTGACAGCAGGGGCACCTGTAATTGATCCACGCCTGTGTACTCCGTGGCCTTGTTTTTCTCTTTCAAGTACTGGGAATTGAATGAAGCTCTCCTCCGCGGAGCTACATCCCCAGACCGCTTTTCTTTTTATTTCGAGACAGAGTCTTGCTAAGTAAGGCTGGCCTTGAGCTTGTGATCCTCCCGCCGCAGGCTTTGAAGTAGCTAAGATTACAGGACTGTGCTAGCACGCTTGTCCAAAAGAGACTCCTTGTGAGTTAATTTCTGTCCCTGGGACCATACCTCCTCCCCAGTAATCACGGCCAAGCCCGCAAACGGCAACATTTCCCACTCCCGTAGGAGGGGTGCAGGACCTCCTGAGTGATGGTGGGTGGCGGGCTGTCCCGTTCCGCCTGTCAGCGGGACCCGCAGGCCGACTGCCTTCCAGGGAGGCTTTGGAGGGCGCAGGGCTGCTGTCTTTGTCAGTAAAGCCAAGGTCATTGCTGCGTCTCCAGCCGCAGGGACCCTTGCTCTGTGACTGCGCAGCGTTCTTCCTTTGTGCCTCCGCTCAGCTTAGGTCGCGCTAAGTTGGGCCTCCACTCCAGCCTTTCGGAAGCCGCTTCTTTTCCACTGCCCCGCCGCTCCCAGCCCTAGCGAGCGCGCCCTGCTCGGTGGCGCCGAGTGCGCAGGCGCGGGTCCTGTCCCGTGCAGCGGGGGCGGACTGGATGCTGCAGGCTGCCGGCCGTGATTATTCTACACTGCTGCTCGTCCGTGATTGTAATTATCGTACCAACGGCGAGATTACAGAGCCCTCAGCGCTCTGTAATGTCTGCTGTAACTGCGGCCCATGCTGCCCCGCACTGTGCCTGCCCGTGCGCCCACGGCGCTGTGCCGGGGACGCGGTTGGTGCCGAGCGGCGGGAAGAGGAGCTCAGCAACTTTCTCCCTCTCTGCTCGTTCTCACTGAATCATTCAGACAGCACTGGCAGAGGTGCTCAGAAGGGCAGCTAAGGTGCAGAAAAGCCTTCCGGTTATCCTCCAGCCAGGGCCGGTCGTCTGGGTGGGTTTGCACCCCGGAGCCCAGGCTTGGACAGGTGGGGCGTGGGCTCCCCCTACAGTCAACCTTCCCGTGGCCTGTTCTTTCATGCGGTCTAGAGCTGCCTTCCTGAAAGCTTCCCAGCGCTCCCTCTTGCTCAGCCTTGAAGGTCTGTCCCTGCATGGGCCCATTCTTGGGGGAGAAGCTCCTGGTAGCTCAGTGGCCCTTGCCCCAGCCTGGCCCAGACTCTGCCAGGACACACCAGCCCGGTCTCGTTGCTACCTGGATACCCCGGACCTGCTGCCTGTGGGCTCCGCCCAGATGCCAGCGATGCCCTGCTTCCAGCCCAGCAATGCCCCAGCTACACCCCAGCAGAGCTGCCTGGCTGCTGTGACCTGCTCCTGTAGGCAGAGCACTCCTCAAGCCGGGAATAGGGCCCACAGAACAGGCCAACGCAGCCCAGTGATTTGTCCACTGAACCCAAGGACTCGCTGGGGAGGAGGAGGCAGCAAGGGCGAGCCGCGCAGCCCACAGTGCCTTCCCCTCCCTGGGCTGCTGGCACCCGCCCAGCACACAGCAGCTTGCAGACAGGGGTAGCCCAGTCCTCAGGCAGGAGGGCAGGAGGGCGGCATGCAGCCTGTGGTGCACGCAGCTTCGCCTGCCCCAGGTGCAACTGCGGACACGAGAAAGACAGCAGCTGCGTAGACAGGATGTCCAAATACCCATTTTTCCTCTTTTGCCATTTGCTCCTTTTTCGCCTTTCAGGCCTGGGGGTCCAGGCTGTCCATTGGATCCATTGTGTCCGGGTGACCCACCGACTCCTGGAGGTCCTGGGTCAAGACATGGAAACAGGGACTTACAATGTTGGTGAGAGTCCCTGTGGGCAAGGAACAAACTGGTCCTTCTCCTGCTACATCCCTTCCTTCTCTATCCAAAGCGGTGACAGCTGGGGAGACAGGGTGGCTGGGGAGACAGGGTGACAGGTCCTGGGGTGAAAGGGGTGTGGAGCAGGAAAGCGAATAGCCAGCTACCCAAACTCTTTTCTTCCCCCACTTTGTTCCTATCAGGGGGAGCTTGGGGACCAGCCCACACCCCATCTTCCCTGAGAGGAAAGACAGGCCACAGCACCTACCTGGTGGGCCAGGTGGTCCTAGAACAGAAAAGAAAATTGGACAGTAAACTGCAGATGGCAGAAAGACAAGAGCACCTCCCCCCATGTCCTAGAAACCCACCCCACATCTTGTATTTAGAGCTCATTGTATTTGCCCTTCAGAGCAAATCAACAGACTCATTTGCTAATCAAATCGCTTTTACTTAAGTGTCAGTGGATCAAGAAACAGTTCATCCTCTGCGGGTTTTTTCTCTGCAGAGTGTGCATGGCAGTTACCGACTCCGGGGTGGATAGGCCTCTCCAGATCCAAGCCTGTGGCTATTCCCAAATTGGCACCCAGAAAACGCTTACTACGTGCACCAAACTCTCATATCGTTCCTGTCTGAAGGGCTCACATCTACACGGAAGGGGGACCCTTATGAACCTCGGAGCAATACAGGGAGCCAGGAAGTGACCCCAGAGGGCTCACGGGGGAGTGTGGACACAATGCTGTCTGAGAAGGCTTCCAAGAGGGGGAGTCTTGAACCACAGCCCTGAAGAAACAATGGGCTCAAGCACTGCCTGGAGGGCCGGCGTACACGGCAGGGACTAGTGGGCACACCACACAGGGAACTTGCAAGGCCCATGGCAGGAGAGAAGAGGACTGGCCAAACTGGAGATGGCAGAGAAGAGCTCAGTCTGCGCTGTGGGCACAGAGGGCACAAGCCCCTGAAGCCAAGCCAAGGGGCATGCACTACATAGGAGAGACAGCAGGGGGCGCCGGGAGCGCTGAGGCCAGGGTGATACTGGGAAATCAGTGCGGCTAGAAACTGCACAGAACTAGGTGGGCTAAGATGAAAGAGACAGAAAGACAGAGGAAATAGCCAGATCCTAGTCGTTAGAACCAAAGATGAGGCCGTGGGTAAGTGGTGACGAGTTGCAGAGAAAGCTAGGAGATCCCGGATTTCCATGCCTGATTTAGGTGGGAGCCTCTTGGATATTTGGGGCCTGGGACACAGATGACAGAGGCCAGGGACAGGAGGGGCACTCAGAGTAACAGGTGTGTGAGGGTCTGTGCTCAAGATGTGCAGTCCCACTCGGGTCCAGGGGATGTGTGAAAAGGCCTGGCATTTTGGCAGTGCAGCCTGTGGCTACAGGACGCTGCCGTCAGAGGGCGCACACACACCAGGAAGGGAGTGAGGCAGCCGCGACAGAGGTCTGGAGAAGGGCGCAGCACTGCTTGCCACATGAAGCAAAACTGAGTGGACAACATAGGTGTGAGAGACCCCGAGAAGGCCTTGTTGCCATGTTCATAGGTGGAGTGTGGTGCTGCTGCTCCCGGGAGCTGTGTCCTGGGGACCTGCTGACCCTGACCAACATCTCCAGACGGCCACCCTGGTCAGAGCTGCTACGGTGTGGGCCATCACCGCAGCACTTCTCAACACGCAGCAGCATTGTCCCCTCCAGAGGCCTTTACTCAGCATGAGTGCAGAGCGAGGCCCAGGAACCTGCATTTTACCAAGGACCACTGCTGGCCGGGATGCAGTGCTGAGGGTCCCTGGGAACGAGCCACACTCAGCTCACCCTCAAAGGGCTGGCATGTGGCGTCCCTGGTGGGTGAGACATTGCAGTCCTGGGGTCTTCTTGTCTTCCTGTGGGCGAGCCTGGTGTCATCTGCAATCAGGCACCTGCGGCGTGGTCACCCAGGCTCACAGGGAGGGGAGGAGAATCCCCAGGGACTTCTGATGCTCCTCCACAGCCTCCCCTCACCCTGGGGGTTGCCTGAGCTAAGGCACCTGCTCAGCACAGCAACGACCACCGAAGTAGCAACTCTGCCTCTCTGGATGTCCTGCTGGCCACAGTGACACAGAAGCCCAGGAAAACCAAACCCACAGCAAAGTGCTTGAAGGCGAAGCCAGGCCTGCTGCTCTAGAAGGAGCCCCTGCAAATGCAGTGCCCCGACTGAGACGGCAGGCCGGAGCTTCTCTGCCTCACCTCCTCCTGCAGTGATCCCTGCGGTGCAGGCCTCTTGCTGGCCACAGGCCACAGCGTCAGGGCTAGGCAGGAGCGGGGCTAGGGGGTGTGTGGACCCTTTCCCATGGGAGCCTGCTGCTTGACTGTCTTCAAGGATGGTCTGAGAGGCCCACGCCTCATGCCTGGCTGAACCCACAGCTGAAGCAAAGCCTGTGTCACTCAAGGACATTCAGCTAGGCGAGAAGAGCAGCAGCTCTGCCAGTGGCCTGAGCACAGCCTGTCCTTCCAGTTACCGAGGCTGCACTGGCTGAGCCCTCTAAAGCTGCCTCGGCCTGGCTCTGGGCTAAGTCCTCAGGCACCAGTGAGAAAAGGATCTCCTCTCATGTGTCCCAGTAATCTGCAGCTTCAGCTCCATCTCATTTAGTGGGTGCATGGCCACCTTGGGCTGTGCCTTGGGATTCTTTTAAGGTGCAGTAGGAACGGCTAGTAAGTTTTAAGTGCCAGCCTAGCCATGGAAGCAGTGGCTTTCTGGAATGCCAGGAAAGAGTGACCTGAGGCCATGTGGGGCAGCACGGTATATGGCATGGGCGTTTGCCTGGATAGGGGGAGCAGGACAAGTGCCCCCTCTGCTGCAAGGAGAACAGGCATTGTGGATTTGATGTGTGTCTGCCCAACAAGCTGTTCAGAAACGCGATGGTTCTGACATTTCCCAAGTCCAAGCGGGGAGGCCACTGTAAGAGAAGAACCAGCTAAAACTCTACCTTCTGCAAGCCAAGACATGGTTCTGGGGTTCCAAGGAGTAAAGGAAATGTGGGCCCAGGAGTACAAGATGCACCTAGACATGCATCTGCCACGTGCTGCCTGACAGACTGCCCCAACTGCTCTAGCTGGGGAGTCCCCGAGAAGTGCCAGGCTGCGCAAGGCTACAGGCCAGCTCCCAGTTCACAGCTGGACTAGGCCAGGAGAGCACGCGCCTGCTGTGTGTGGTGTGGGTCAGACCCGGGCCCTGGTGCATGCCGTGCAGGTGCTCTGCCGCTGAGCCACACCCCTCCCTGCTTGCTTTATAGGTGAATCTAGCGTGAGGCCAGGTCTTGCCCTGGACCCAAGCCCTGGCCACGTCCCAGAGGCCCCCTCGCCGGCATCCACTTGGGCCGGCGGACCAACTCTGCCTAGTCCTAAATTCTCTCTAAGTCAGGTCCTGGGTCTGGCTGTTCATTCACTTGCCTAGGCAGGATCTTCTACCCCAAGGCAACTTCTTGCTTCACAACTTGCATTTTTCAGGCTTGATTTCTTCACTGAAGAGCTTTCTGTGTAAAAGGAGCCCCGATTTCAAGCTGGCTTGGATGGAGAAAACACTGGCCTCCGAGAAGCATTTGGGGTGCTCCACAGTCCCTGCATGGACGCCGTCCCTGCCGTCCCTGCCGCCCGCCCCAGTGCCCAAGTGGTCTCCGTAGCTGTGCCTTGCACATTCACCATGCAGCCTGGCTCGCGGGCCCCTGCTAGGAGAGCCAGGAGGAGGAGGCTTCTCGCGGGCCCTCAGCCGGCTCTTGTGCCTGTCTCTCCATCCCCTGAGCATATCTCTAGCACTCATTACTGCCTCCAGATGAGCTTGGAAAAGGGACTTCACAGCTGAAGGAAGGTGCTTAAGCCACAAGAGTTTCTGAACAAAGGATCTGGCTGTTTCAAAGACGGTGAATTTTCAGTAAGGGCCACAAAGTGCCCTGAGTAATTCAGTTAGCATTTCCCCAGGGGCTGCAGGGTTGCAGCTCTCCTGGGAGAGTGGGGCTTGCCAGGGGGCCCCAAGGGAGGCTCACCTCCTCCCCTGCTCACGCCCAGATCCAGGTTCACTCCTGTAGCAAACCCACGGTGCTCCCTATGCTCAGCAGGCCTGATGGGTACCAAGGGGGAGCAGGGCAGACACTGCAGATGAGCAGGTACAGGCAGAGCAAGGCTTCTGCGTGGGAGCTGCTGACACAGCCTCCCTGGAGCCTGGGCCACGATGTGGGAGCCCAGTGACAGCGTCAGCTGGCTTTGAAGCCTTGTGGTCATCTTCCCGAGCCCTGGCCTGGGGCATCTTCCCCGTTTCCTTGGAATGCTGCCACTCTAGAGAGCAGGGGCTGAGGGCCAGATCTGGCTGCACAGCCCACCCTTGGTCCTTGCCGCTCAGTCTTTGCAGGGCCTCTTGTGGCCTGAGGCAGTGACCCTGACTCTGCTCTGTGGCCTGGGTTTTCCCTGTCCTAGCCTCTGAAGGCAGGCCACAGGGAGTTTCCTCAGGCAACCCACAGATGGAAAATCCTCTCAGAAGTGCATCCTCCTCCATTCTCTGTCCTAAGGTCTGCACACCTCTGGCCAGTTCCTTTCTTCTTTTTCACATGTCAGTGGCTCATAGCAGGAGGGCCAGGCCCACCTTGCCCAGGGTACTTACAGCTTAGAAGAGTCTGCAGGAAAGAATGCCCTGGCTACTTAGCAGCTTCCTTCCAGAACTTGTCCACGCCATGCACATGATGGCGGAGGGCAATGCTGACATCCAGGGACAGCTCTGCTCTAGTGCTCAAAGGCCACTTAGCAAGGTCTTTGCCCTTCTAAAACTAACAGGCATAAGGAAAACATCTCTGGCCCTGGCTGAAGGTGTCACCAGTTTCTCATTACCCAAGTCCTAGTTATTTTCCATGGCTCTATTTCTATGGCAAAACCAGAAAATATTGTTATTTTCATAATTATATTACAGTTGGTTCTTAGCCTATTAAAACCATCTGGCATAAGTCAGCCAACATGCATGTGTATAAGGGCGAGTGTTCCTGGGTGCCAGTTCCGCCCAGACCTTGGGTGGCACCCGTGTGGGCGGTGTGGGTGGCTCTGGGTGGTGACCTCCAGCCTACCTGTGAGGCAGATGCCTTTGGTGCTGTTGCAAAGGTCCAGCATCACGCGGATCTGTGGAGAGAGGGAGGTCAGTAGCACCCCTGGAGCCACCTTGTTCAGGCGAGCAAGGAGAATCCATGAGGACCCAGCGCATGCCCTCCAGGGACAGTGCCAAATCTGAAGGAGACGGTTAAAACGGAAAAGAACCCTTAACACACCCACGGATTTGGCAGAAGGGTTCATCTAGCCCATTGTCAACAGAACCCCCTTGATTTCTGTCGGGAGACTGGGGAGAGAATCACTGAATCCACTTGCCGGGTGCTGGGCACGGTGGTTGAGAGCAAGCGCTTAGTGGCTGAGGGGTTTGACTTTCTGGTGTTCTGGTTTCCTCTTCTGAAAAGGCAAATACAACTCCACCAACCACAAGGGCTGAGCTAGCTCAGTCCCTGGCATTAGCAAAGTGAGCCAACGTGTCAGTGATTCTCCTGCCACATGGGCACTGCCTGCTCACCAGGGGGTGCCGACCTGCGCGGTAGTGGAGGGCAGGGCAGAGGGGAGCACGAAAGGTGGGGCGGAGGGAGCACAGAGGGCGGGG